TTTTAGACAGTTAAATCGAAAATCAAAATTTTGTCGGCGGCCAGCTTAGTCGGTGCTCTCATGGACCCTCTCTTAAGCAATTGCTCATTTGAATACTTTATGATATTTAATCATAACCGTTGAATCAATGATTTTATTTTAAAGTGAATCAAAAACATGAATACGACTTGCATTATAATTGTCCATCTTTTATCTTATCAAAAGTCATCAAGTTGAGTTGTGAATTTTGTCTCCATACAAGCAAACAATTGAACAAACATATTATTATAGGAATTCATTTACTGTGTTACACATATAATCAACTAAACAAACCGTTAACGATGATTCAAAACCAATAAAAATTTGAATACAAAAATACAAAACTGTTTGTTTAATTGTCGCTCGATATTCGATCAAACTATCATCAGATCCAAGATTAGATTTTAAAAATCGAATAGAAAGTAAATGGAATCTGCATTATAACTATTCGATTATCGTATAGTCTTCCAGAAATTTACTTAATGAATATCTTGCAATTGAATGACTCTATAAACTGTTGTAATGTTTGCTCGAAATCATCTATTTCTCATATGATCTAACAATGTCGACCAACTAATGAACACTTTTTACTTCGATATGAATCAAATATCTGAGCAAAATTTTGATGATAGGCATTTGTTTGTTATGTGACTTTTTACATAGCTGAATGTACAAAAACAAAACACTTTAGAATACACAAAACAAGTGTATAAAACCATGCTATTTGTGTTTCCCATCATTCAAACAACGCATCTGCTCAATTAGCTGATTAACATGCAAGTTTTGCTTTCAAATAACCAAAAAGAGATGAATAGAACAATTATAAAAAACAATCAGTTGTCGTACAATGTTTGATGAGCTGACCAACTCGTAAGCTTTACTTCCAAGTAGGTAAAAGAAATGAACAGGACATTTCTGAAAAAATCTTCATTTGCTATGTGATATTTGATGAGACAATCAACTTGAAAGGTTTGTTTTCAAATTAGAAAAATAGATCAACAGTAGAGTCTTTAAAACTATTCATTTGTCATATGATGTTCGATAAATAGACAAACTTGCAAGGTTTGCTTCCAAGTTACTAAAAATGATGAAGATGTAATTTCCTTCGAGATATTCACTGATGATGTTATGTTTATATATGTGAGTGCTTCTATAGCTGTCTCATAATGTTGATAAGATTTGAGAAGAAAGTTTTTTGTATCGATGTAAAGACAATCGTTCTTAATTCGAAAAACTTGATATTATATGCGGTAGGCAAAAGCTGATAGTATTAGTTTATAGTTGTTAATTCTCTTGTAATGAAGGAAGAAATTGTCAATCTTCACAATTTATTATTGCTAGATACCTTGTAATATGGAAAGAAGAGATGAGTAAAATTTTGAATTCTCAAAGATAATAGATTATTGAGCTTAATATCTAATTAAAATGCTTTTATGAATCCATTCATTCTGTTGGTTAAGATTAATTTTTGTGCTTTAGATAAATAATGAGATGAGCGACCAACAAATGTTGATTGATATGTACTTTGTCTAATTTGAAAGATGCGACTTATATAGTGACGAATATTATCAAAGCTCTTGATTCTAAGTTTTTAGAAGATGACAAAATCGATATTGAGAATTTCCTATTACATATTAAATGAAATTTTAAAAATCATTTGGATCTTAGTATTTGAAGCTTCCTTAATTAAAGTTGTCAGACAGATAATAGACCTCATAATGACTATCAGAAGTTTTGCTTCATGCTCAACCAATTGGTTTAAGTGTTGACAGTTGATAAATTCTAGCTCATCTATTTAACTCATAAAACACAGTAGATTTTTAGACTTCGAAACTTCTATAACTTATTTGAGAATCATAGATGTATGCTGATATTCAGATTGAAGGGTGCTAAGTATAGAATTATGTTTTTTTTTGTTTCGTACAATATGTGAAATCTAAACATTTATTAGAGGAAAAAAAAAATTTCTAATTTTAATAAGTATTTATAATTCTTGAATAATATGATTCGATTACAAAAGATACTATTAATATATTTTCATCATTCATTTTATTCATCTTCTAAAGAACAAACACAGGATTCCAACAAAGGAAAATAAAGATTGAAATGTTTTGAACGTCTCATATTTGTTACTATTGAATTCATTATTGGTGGACTGATAATTAATTGTTTTATTTTACTACAATTCAGTCGTGTTGTAGTTTTTCTGAAGTTTCTTGTCACGATATTTAAACGTTCATAATCGACAGTTAATTTGGTTAGAGAAGGTAAATGTGTTTTTGTCTGATTGAGAAATTGATCGGTATAATGAATATAAGCCATATCAAGCCGAAGTGAAATAAGATAAGGATATTTAATAACTGAAAATAATTGATTATAATTCAAGTTCAATTTGTCTAATTTTGATGATTGTGGTTTAAAATTAATAACACATAAATGTTTAAGTAAAGGAAAAGACCAAGCAATTCGATAAAAAAATTCATGTCTAAATGGAACATCATCGTATACAGTCAATCTTCTAACATGATTGAAAATAATACTTGGAAATATATTACCAATAGATTTAAGACAATCAAACATGAATGGTAATGAAAAGATCTGATATGTGGTAATATTATATGTATAATTTACAATACAATCCATTTGTTGATATTTTATATTACTAAAAGATTGTTGAATATCATTTTTAGATAAATAATGAATAAAATGATTCCTATGAATTTTGATAGAAATACAAAATTTCAATGTATGAAGTTGTGGCATATGTATAAGAATTTCATTAGAAATATGATTACCATCGATCAATGTAGTTCGATTTCTAATAGTAATATACAAAGTTAATTCTTCAAGGTTTATCATACGACGAAAAAGAGGTAGAATTTCAGTATCATATAGATCAGTTAAACAATCATATATTGTCAAAGAAAAACATTTCAAATTAGATAGATTATCCTAGAAAATATAAAACAATATATTATTATTATATCAGAAACAAAAAATTTTAAAAAAATTTCAGATGAATAATTGTTTGAAATGATTTATTTCTATTTAATTTATTTTTAAATATTTCTTCTATTTTATCATGTAAAGATTTTCTTCTAAAATGATGACCTAGAATAATTATATTATATTTCTAAACTTCTACAACATAAAAAATAATGAAGATTGAAAGAATTCAAAAATTTTAGATCAAGTTTATTATTATATCTATATTAATAATAAAAAATTATTTGTATTAAATAAAATAAATATAATATCATTAGATATTATATGACTATTTCGATTACATAAAATCATCAGAATTAAATCAAACAAATGAAAGTTATTTCAATATAGCTTTTCTATATTTAATAATCTTTAAATGTTTTCATCTATTATTCAAGAATCTTTTGTTTTTGTATTTTTTTTTTACTTTCTTTATTATCTTTGACACTTATAATCTTTATTATTCATGATTCTTATAAAATTTCTATTTCTTATAAAAGAAGGAAAATAATTAAAAGAACTAAAGCAGAGAAAAAATCAAGATTGTTTATAGTTGTGAAGAAAAAGCTATAACTAAGTTAGATCTCTTCTAAACTTAGTCGAAAATTAGATATATATTTCTAAAATATCTAAAGATTAACATTCTCAATCTTATTTTTTAAAATGTCGTTATTGAGTAGAAAAGTATATGATTAATAAATGAAAAACTCATCAAAACTAAAAAGTTTGTTTGTTAACATAAAATTTAATCATTTGATTCATCTCTTGACAATAACTTATATGCACGAAACAATTAATAATTCAGAAAATATGATATAAAATTAACTGTATTTATCCATTAACTAGATCAGGATTCAATTTACAACTGTTTAATTATAATTGATATAAATATTAATGGCATTCATTAACCAGGTGTTCTTCTCTATAGAAAAAGTGTTCCATCGTCTAATTTGTATATCGCATATGGACATATAGATAGTGTCATTTACAGGACAAAAGTGTTCCCCTTCATGAGCATAGTTTTTCTCTTATAACTAATAATAATCGAGATAGACGCGGTAACGCTTACTTCAATTATATAGAAATATGTCTATCCGGAAACTACCATCTGGTCAGACTAATAGAAACCCTATTCTCGATTGCAAACAACATTTTGACTACAATCATCAAACAGTGAACTATTTGCAAAATTTTATAGATCTTCGTATCTCGAAGGTTATAGTCAATATTAATTGAATGCTTATGGTTACATGCTAATAAGCCGAAAATTCTTCGAACTATGCGAGGATCCACATTGTTGGAATCCTATCATGCTGAGTACTATTATCGATCTGTTCATAAGAACATGTTTTACTCGATTGTTCAAGATGTTCGACATTATCGAATGAAATAATTTCTCTTATTATAACCTTATTTACATCTCACTTCTGTTTGTTCCGGTTAATAATCACTAGTCTTACTTGAATAGTAGTATCAACTATTGTAAACTCATAGCAATTATGAGTAGAACACTATACTCATCAAGAACACTTTCGTTCTGTGAATGACACTATCTATACATCCATAGTATGGTATACAAATTAGATGGTGTAACACTTTTTCTATAGCGAGGAGCATCAGCTTAAATGTTTAGCGTGTTTACGATGGAGTACCTGCTTAATGAATGCGCGTATTTTGCTTTTAAGTTGAAACAATTAATTCAATAAAATGTAAACTTACAATATGGTAAACATTCGATGAATGATTTTTCATATTATCAATAACCAAAATTAAAGTCGTTAATTGTTTGAGACGACCATCAAGTAAAGCAAGACAATCATCAAAATTCATAATATGAATAGATAATTTGTTAAGAATTGAAGAGAAAAAAGTAGTTGAAGGTAAATTATTAAGTACCAAAGGTGGAAAAAAACGAGGAAATGATCCCATAACAGATAAGTGTTTTAGATTTTCGAAGAATTTCAAAATATATTCATACATATCTGTTGTATAATTTTTTATTGATATTTCATTTAAATTGTTTTCGAATACAAGTATAAGATCTGTAATTTGTTGTTGAAAAATATGTCGAAATGGTGTTTTAACTAAATAAAAACAAAAAAGAAAATAAATAGTTATTGTGTATAGTCAATTTATACAACAATTTTTCATCTAAATCTTTACTTAAATCAATATGTAAGTTATTTACCTGTAAAATAATCTGATTGAATCTTATCGTTAAAGTTAAAGAGTTTAAGTTGAGTTAGATTAGGATAATCAGCTGCAAGAAGAATACGCTTCATGGATAATGAATCAAGAATAAGATATTTAACATTTTGATGAATTCTTGGCAAAATATTTTTACAAAATCGATCAATTATTGAATCATTAAACAAGAAAATATCATCAGTTAATGTTGTTAATACAAAATCGAGAGTATTAGTGAATGTATTTCCTTGTACTATAATATCAAGCCGTTGATTATCAACATTCAACAATGAATATAGAACATCAATATTGGTGAGATTTTTTAAAATGACAAGTAATATTTCAGTAGGTAAATCAAGAAGACCAACATTAGATTGATTCATATTGAGTTTAACTAAAGATGTTTTTTTTTTATGCATATGTATATATATATATATACTCATTGTTTATTTCCGCCTGCTACCATCATTGAATAAAATGGATGGATGACCTCGAGAAAAAGAAAATATAGCCTGAATAAATAGTTCAATTAATTTTCGGACATTTTTTTTTTGTCTCCTCTATCTTTGATATTATTTTCATCCATAGTCATCGTCTTATCCATACGAAAATGAAAAAGTTACTTTAACAGAAAAAAAAAAAAAAGAGAAATTTATTGAATAAATAAATCATCATTTTTTACATAAATATAATTAAAAAAAAATTTTTCTTATTCTGCAAGTTCGTTGGCCATCATTTGTACATATCTTCCATAACATTCACATTCACGTCTTTTTGCACATGGTACTAAACTAAAATAAACATGAGCTGCCTAGTTCGAGTTATA